GACGGTGGAAGTGACGTGGCCGACATTCAAATCGACGATGATATTATTCAGTTGGACAATGGCGCCGCCGAAACTAAGCTTGCACGCCCTGGAGTTATCAGGGGTCTTTGGCCCAAAGCGAGTTCAGATCGCACGCCGGTGTTGAACAAACCATTGCACCAATGGTTTGGTCGCCGATCGTTGCGGAGGCCATTGCCGGCAGCGCCGGGTAATGTGCCATGATCTCCAGCCATGAGTGCATCACCGTGCTCATTGAAGTCTTCGCCGACATTTGTCAATCCATCGGCCCCCTCGCCGCCTTCAAGAAAAGGTGGCGAAAGATCACGCGCAGCATGCGTTTCGGCATCGTCGCGCCAAGAGGCGGGGAAGCATGCGACGATCGCCCTGACAATTTATTCCCGCGAGTGAGAAATATTTTGCGCGCCCTCGTGGATGGTATGAAACTGCATACTCGAGATTCGCTTCCGAAATTTTGGCGGCGCGGCAATGTCCGCTCCATGGTGTGACGAACCACCAACAAAACATACAGAGTCACCACTCCTGATTTCCACAGCTCCCTTCCTATCTTGCCACGGGCCACGCTTGTGCAACGGGCAAAATATAGTACACAAAATCCAGACGTTTACATTGAACCTCTTCATACCGAGTTTCCTCGCAGATGCTCCGCAAATTCTGCGCGCAAGTGTGAATATCCATTATCTCGTTGCTGACGGTGTCCGCTTCCCGCCGACGCTCCTACAAGTCGTCCTAAATCTCCTCATGCACGGCGTTGCTTACCATGCATGATAGTTTGTTTCCGTCAGCCTCCCGCGCCATAGTAAGCGCCGTCCTCGCCAATTGTAGCTAAGAGGGCGAACTTGGAATCGATGGCTCCACGGATTGCGAATGTGTGGTACTCAGCTTTCACGTCGTCTAATTTTTTATAAATCAGGTTCAATCAAATATATTTGATGTTGGTATTTAATTTCGATCGGGGCCGCACTTAGAAAAACTTGTTTGCGGCGGCTCAGAGTCTCTGTTTATTCAAGGTGTTGATGCTATTCTGTTTGCGCGGCAACCTTGTCGCGGAGATATGATCGTGCATGTTTGCAAACGTCATTGGAGGTGAAATGTCGTTGGCACCCACTTCCTCGATGCCCTGGGTATCCCGCAGCGCAGCCGTAACGAGAGCCGTGGCATCACCGTCGGACACTTCGTCATAAATTCCGAATGCTTCTTGTGTTTCTCGTCGGGCTTCTCGTCCAAACGAGCTGTTTTCATGTCGAGTGTGTTGTGCGCCTCTCTCTCCGAGAGCAGGTCTCTCGAGATCTCGCCCATTTTAGCGTTGATTTCGCCGACTTCGGCTTCGAAGAGTTGCGCCAATCGCTCCTCCTGAGTTTGGTGTCAATTGCGTTGCAGACCACGATGGGCAGAGGTAGAGGCAGCAGACATCGTGATCTTGTCTACCGCGATGTCACCCCCTTTGTTTTGAAACAAATGACGTTGCCTGAGTTTTGCCGTGGCTTTCCGGGCTTCTTTGTCTGGCGTTGCGAGCCGCTTGGCAGGAGAGAATTGCATGGATATAGCAATGTTCAATGCCATTTGTCACATCAGCCCAAGAAGCGTTTTCAAATTGACCCCTTGAAATCGCCTCTTTTATCGTTGCTGTTGTCTGATGGTGTTTCGTATCATGCCCATGTTTTCGTTCCGACGTGTCTGGCATTGTCTTGCGTGAAGGAATTTTATGATGGTAGATGAGTCAGTTAGCGCAGCGATTGGCTCTTTCGACGATGGCCCATTCCCATGAAGGGCGTGCAATCCTCTACTGTGCGTAATGAGGCATGCGTGCCGTAAGACCCCATGTCCACCATCCTACACCAAACATCACATGTTGCCTTCCCCTGAGAAGTTATGCAAAAACCGACTGTACTGAGTCTGTCCCGCCTGCCCCAACATTGCTGGTCTTGTGCAGCATATGTGGTGAGGGCGCACTTGCTCGAAGGACGAGAAAGACCAGTTGCATAATCATCGAGTGACCCAATAACGGATCGGGGAGAGCTCAATTACTAGCGGAGGAAACGGTGCCCCAGCGGAGGGAACGATTCCGACTCCGACTCCGATTCGATGTGGTTTTCTGGCATCGGTTGGGGTCAGCCGGAGCCAGGCGCGGGCGATCCGATTCGGGGCTCAAGAGACGGGGGTCAATGCAAATGGGGGTCAGCGGGCGCGTTCCACTACTCGCAAAGTGCCTACTCGAAAATTCAGAAAAACACATGTCGGGTTTGATGTACTTTATCGTAGATCCCCCGCGGCGTATCCAGGCCAATTGCGAGTAGTTACTTTGCGAGTAGTGGAACGCGCTCGTCGAGGGGGTCAGGCAAAGCGCTGGGTGTTTCAGGATCCTTGCAGAGCCAGGGGCGCATGGACACGGGCTTGGGCGCGGGGCCCTGCAGGATCTTGCAGCATCTCGCAGGATTCTGCAGGATCTCGCAAAGCCTGACAGAAAAGGGTCTGCATTGACCCAGGTCAGTAGAAGTCCGACCGATTTCGATTGAATTCGGGACGATTCGTTGTTGATCCGATCCGTTCCTGATCTGATCCCATTTTGCGGTTCGATGCAGCGCAGGTTTGGGAAACGAGTCTCGGAGTTTTTGTTTCGTTGTCCATGGGTTTGGGAGGCCCTTCGGGGGCTTCGGGGCCGTCATTAAAAAAACGATTCAAGACGAAAAGGATGAGGAGGAGGAGAAGGAGGATGGCCCCCTCTCCTGGCTCTGGTGCGTGACTGCGCGCCCTCTCTCGTCACACGCGTGTACGGCCATGGGCGGGCCTTGTGGGGGCGAGCACTTTCCGAAACTGCCGCTTGGCCATCTTGCGCACCCGATAGCCTCACCCCAGGGCGGGCGGGCGGGAGACCGGCCTCGTCGGCCGCCAAGCGAAGCTCAGCCACCACTCTTTGCGTTGCATCCTCGGGGGGCTTCGCCTGTCCTGAAAATCGGTGTCCTGTGCCCGATGCGGGCTCGATGCGGACTCGACGCGGATTCGGCTGGGATTCGATGCTGGTTCGACATGGATTCGACACGGAATCCGACGAGTCCGACATGGATTCGACACGGAGTCGACGCGGATAGGGCCGCGACGGGACAGACAAGGCCCCCCGAGGATGCAACATCATTCTTTGGCCAGGATGCTCGGCGGGCACAACATTTGCACCCCGCCCCAGTTGGGCGGCATCGCTAGGCCAGCGCACAGCCACATCCTGTGCACGACGGCACGGCGCCACGGCACGACAACAACAATAACAAATAGTAATAATACTTATAATAAGTATGAGCGAACAATGGCAAACGAACAAGCGAAAACCTGACGACATTGCGTGACGCACGGCACCACGGCATGGCGCGGCATTGTTCCTCTCCGCTCTCGGGGCAACGAAATTCAACGGCGCGCCTGGGGGAACCCTGAGATCTTGGCGACTATTTTTTCGAGCCTGACGTTTTCGCGTAGTTTCGGGCCCCGGGACCCTCACAGACAGATTTGGCTCAAAAAATGGCGCAGAAAGATGGGTCCGAAACTATTGGGGTGATTCTCTAAGAGTTCTCATATCGGATCTCAGGGAAGTGGGATGGAGAAGGGCTTCTCAAAGGTTCGGAAGTGTCCCGGCATTCTGAGAAGTTTTTCTGCGCGTTCTGAGCAGTTTTCTGAACATGTCTCAGATGGCTGGAGAGCTTCTGAGAAGTCCCGGCGCCTTCTGAGATGGTTTTTTCTTTATCATTTTCTCCCTTCGATCGCCCCCGAGACATGGATCGTGAGACAGTACGGTACGGCACCACACGCGACGACACCATACAGGCCTCGGAAAAAATTAGCGAACACTCATGCCACATTCATCTGTGAACGCCTCCCCCCTCCCCCAATGTTCAAAGTTGGCGGTGGGCCTGATGAGTTGCACCTCGACCGCAGTCTCCCCCCCGCGTGCCAACCTTGAGTTTGGGGGGCAGGGGGGGTGTTCACTAGTTGTTTCCCTCTACCGTACTGCCACACTGCGGCACGACAGCGCGGCACGGAAGACAGGTCCACGTCGAGCCCACGTGCTCGAGCTCGGCCGCGAGCCGCGGCCCCCCAGGAAGTCATATGTCAGGAGCGAAAGGAGGACGTACACGTACACGAATCCGCATTGCCCGAATGTTCGTATCACGCGGCCAGTCTCGCGGATCGAGGGGCCGTGTTCATGTACATAGCTGGGCGTGTACGTCCTTTGTGGGCTCCCTAATATGGTGGGCGCAGCGGCTGCAGTCGGAACCGCCGCCGCTGCTGCCGCTCTTTCCGCCGAGGTATGGTCCAAAAACCGAATTCAGCGGCGAGCGACGGGGGGGAAATGAGAAGGAGAAGTGGTTGTCTGTCTTCGGGGAAGGCTCAGAAACCTTCTCGGCAGGCCAGGGGACTTCCGGGCCTTCTGAGAAGGCCCGCCCCTTCTCACTTCCCCCCGGGCGCGACGCCAATTCTCGCCATGGGGGAGGGGAGGCGGGCCCGAGAGCAGCGGGTCCCAAGGCTTGGTGTCTCCGGGCTCTTCGGGCCCTCCATGGGCCCCAAGGGCTGTCCAGGAGCGGCCCAGTTGGCAGAACCCGCGCTGGGGGAAGGCCCCCAGGTCCAGGACCCGTCTCCCTCAGGACCCGCTTGATCACCCCATGCTGAACGACGAGGGGGGCGGAGGTCTAGACCTCCCCAGCTGGGGTCGGAGTAGATGGGGTCGGAGGATCGGTCGCGCCGCATCGCCGATGCGTCGGCGATGCGGCTCGATGTGGGGCCCGCTTTTCTCCACGCCGACGGCGCCGATGCCTCGCCGACGTCGCCGATGCATCGCCGATGCATCGCCGATGTATCGGCGATGCGGCGCGATCCTCCGACCCCACCTACTCGGACCCTATCTAGGAGGCCTCTAGCAGAGACTGGCGGATGAGGGACGGAGGCGGGGAGGCGGAGGCAGTGGAGGCCGAAGAGGCCCCGACGGGGGTGGGCGCCAGGCTCCAGGCGCGCCGAAAGCACAGGCTGCAGCACGTGAGGACGGGGCACCAGTACGAGTCCTATGCCGCCTCGGCGTTGCAGGAGCCGCGGCCAGGGCCGCCTACGATCCGGCTCGGTGCGGTTCGATTCGGCGGCTGGGGCCGCGATTCTGAGTCTGTTCGACTCGGTCGGGCGAGAAAGGGGCCCTGAGGAGTAGGTCTGGGCTTGCAGGAGGCCCGCGGTGAAGACACAGGGCAACGGATGTCTGGGAGAGAGCGTGTTGTGAGCTGCTCACGATGCCCGACTGCCAGAGCCCCTTCCTCCCGCCATCCCGCTTCTGTATATAGAGAGCACGGCATATTCAGACCGCGCCGACGCCGCAGCGACCCCAGCGCGGGCGTTCAAGGTTGAAAGCCGCCAGCGGCCCGGAACCGGCTGACATCGCACGACCCGCGCTGTCGGAAAGCCGCGCTCGTTCAAGGCCGAAGGGCCCACGCGGCGTCGGAGGCCAACGCGCATACAGTGACGACAAGAGCCAGACACAGAGGAGTCCCCTGAGAGCGTTCCGGAGTGCTCCCACAGCCTCCCGCAGCGCTTTGCAGCGGGCTCGGCGCCGGATGCGTCTCACACGCCCGCCAGTTTTCGTAGATGTTCGATATATCGGTCCGATGTTGTCCTCTTCCTGGCTTCATTTCAGAGTGGCATTAAGTCGGGCCTGTCCCTCCGCAGGAGGAAGATTCGAAAGTAGTCCCAAAATAGTCTGGGGACGATTTGTCGACTCTGCTCTGACCATGTTTTGATGCTTTTGAACTATGTTTGATCCTTCCTCCAAAATTCTTCTGTAGGAGGACATGCCCGACCTGAGAGTAGCAGCGCGCGTGCGCGAGCGGCCCCCCCCGCGGGTCGATCTGGCCCGCTCGAGCCGGCATGGGCAAGAGGGCGGGAGTGGCCCCCCGGCGGGCGTGGCACGCGTTCGCCGGGGAGCATCGCTCAAGCAGTGGCGAAGCGTCCCGGCGTGCGTATAGGCCTACCAAGCACTGTTCTAAGAACCTTTTGTGGTTTCCACGAAATCTTCTCAGAACCGTTCTGGCTGCTTTGTTTTAACACATCGGATATGCTCTAAGATCATTTTTTGGTTCTAAGAACACTTTTGGGTTCGAAGAACATGTCGTGGTAGGCCTATAGGAATGCCGGGACGGTCGGTCCCTGCTCAAATCGCCGAAGGCATGGGCGGTCGTGACGACCGAAAGGTGCAAGGAAAGAACGGACACGATGCCCAGCAGCAGTGCTTGCGCATTTGAACGAGTCTCGTTGCCCGCGCCGCCTCACAGCTCTCCTTCTGGGACGATCGGAACGGGTGCGGAAAGAATGGGCACGTTGTCCAACAACAGTCCCTTCTTGTCCCTCGGAACAGGACTCGCTGTTCGCGCCGCCGCGGACGTCGTTCTTTGAAGACGAAGATCCGCCTGCCCAAAAGCGGCCGCTGTCGGTTTGGGACAACTTTTCTTGTTGGGCGTAGCCATCTCGGGCGTTCAAGCCCTGGACACGAGTACAGTGAGCGGTTTGAATAAGGAACACTTACTTTTCAGAAGGGGTTCGGTCGTTCCTTAGGTTTGCATGCGTTCCGCTACCTTTTTGGCGGCGAGCCCCCCTGGTGGTCCTTCAGATTTTGGACGCGCGGGTTCGTTTTGCCGATGAGGGCGGCTGGTCTAAGGAACGGGGCTCCAAGAGGAGCTTCGTTCCTTATGTATTATTCCTTTGGTCAGGTTGATGACCCGGCGTTCCTCATTTCTCGCTCCACGGGACATCCAGGTTTGATTTGTGGGAAAAAACAGGCCTCTTTCCTTATGTAGCGTTCCTTGGGTCAACGCCCCGACTTTACCCATTTCGGGCGCCCAGGCCCCGGACGCGTGCATCGGCTGGCGGCGTTTGAGGAAGCCAGATTGCTTTTCCTTGTCTTTTTTCGACCGCAAAAAAGGAAACAGCAATTAATAATGATCATGCTAATAGTGATAACAATAATGAGAAGAAAGAGAACAATCACAACAACAAACACATATTGCCTTTTGTCAGGGCACCGTGGGCTTCTTCGCTCCTCGCGCTGCGCGGCGACTTCCCGCGGCCGTTGGAAGGGAGCTGCTGCGGTCCAGGGTGCCCTGGGCAGGCGATCGAAAACATAGATTAAGGGGGCGTGGACAAGCGACGGGCCCCGTTTCAATGGGAAATCGCGGATGTCCGCCAACGAACGAGGCGGCACAGGCCGCATTTTGGGGGAGGGCCCCCCCCCCCGATCCATGGATTTCTTGGCCGCGCGCCACAGCCATGGATCGCTGCTCCATGTTTGCGCGCCCCCGACCTGGCCCCCCCCCCTCCAGGCTGCACCTCTCCGCGCGGGTCTTCGGGGCCGGGCTTCCTGCGAGGGTCTCCCGCGGCCGCGTCCGCACGTTCGGCACGCCGCCCCCCCGGCGCCGAGGGGGGGCCCGTCCGGGGGCGGTGGGCGTGCGCGGCGTTTGCCGCCCTGGCTCGGGAGGGGGAAAACCACGCCCAGATGGTCTGGTACCGGACATTTTCGGCAGCGATTTCGGCGCACCCCGAATTTCGGCAGCGACCGGATCTTCGTTTGAGGGCGTTGGAATAGCGAATTTCAGAACGCTCTGATACCGGTATTGGGCGCTACATGTCGGTCTGCGGAGCGCTACCGGAAATTTTCGGTAGCGGACCATCGGGGCGCAGACGCACGGATCGAGCAGTGGCGAAGCGGCCTGGCTCGCCGATAGGCCTGCCAGAGAGTGTTCTAGGAGCCTATGGTGGTCTGCACGGCCTGTTCTCAGAACAGCTCTGGCTTGGACCCGTCTTGCTTCAACACACCAGGCTTCTGTTCTGAGGGCATTGCTTTTGTTATTCGAACACTGCTGGGTTCCAGGAACACTCCGGGGTAGGACTATAGGAATGCCGGGACGGTCGGTCCCTGCTCAAAATGAGTCGTCGATTCCGTCGGTTCCCAAGAGGATACGGGAAATTGTGGGGCGTGGGGGGTGAGACGAGCATTAGGTCGGGCATGTCCCCCTACAGGCAGACTTTGGGCGAAAAATTAAAAATCATCAAACACTACCCCTAAATAGTCAAACATAGTCAACAAATCGTTATTCCCCCTGTAGAGGGACAGGTCCGACTTAAGACGAGCACCCAGAACATGTGGGAGAGATGATAGGGAAGCCTGGGGCGTGTGTCTGCGTCTTCGTGTGCCCCTGGGCCCCATTCACTGGTGCGGTGCTCTCCCCCCCACCCGGGCTGCACCCCGCCCCCGCCGCGGCCGCCGAGGAGTCGCCGCCCCGCCGCGCATGCCCAGGCACAGGGCTCGAGCTTTAAGTCGGGCCTGTCCCTCTGCAGGAGGAATATTCAAGAACAGTAAGAAAGTAGTCTGGGGACGATTTTTTTGACTATGTTTGACAATTTAGGGGTCGTGTTTGATTATTTTCTAATTTTTTGCCCAAAATCCGCCTGTAGGGGGACATGCCCGACCTAACTCGAGCTAAGCTTCAGTCGGGCATGTCCCTCCACAGGAAGAGTGGTCAATGATGGGCAAGAGTAGTCGTCAGGTGACGACTTCTTCGTGCTACTGTTTGACGGTGCTTCCCAAGCCCGCGTGTGCGTGGACATGCCCGACCCAAAGTTGAACGGTGTTATGGCGATTCCGTGGGTCGCTTTCGTTTTGACGTCGTGTGGCAGCAGAGGCAGAACGACGGCAGAACGAGGAAACCGAAACAAAACGAAAACGACCAACACAATTTAGTTCGAGCCCTGCCCGCCGATGTGATGCTATCCGCGGCCCCAGAAGCAGGGCTCGAGCTGAACGGTGTTGTGGCGACTTCGTGGACCGTGCTCGTTTTGAATTTCGTTTCGCAGCAGAGGCGGAATGAAGACAGAACGCGGGAGAATGAAAACAACAGGGGCACGAAGAACATGGTGTAGGCCGAGCCCTGCCCAGAAGTCCCGACCGCTTCCTTGGGGGTAGTGTTCTGTCTTCGTCAACGGGCTGCAGGGGCCGACGGCGAGGAAGAACGCCCGGATAGGAAAGACACAGATCGTGGGCTATGTGAGCGTTTTGCATTCACTGTTTTGCCCATCGGCGCGGGCCCTCGCACCCCCCCCTCCTCCCCCCCCCCACGCGGAGTGGGCCTCGGCTGTTTCTGGCGCCTGCTTCAGGCAGGCGGGGCCCCTCCCCCATAGGACGCCCTGCTGCCAAGAGGAATCGCACTGCGCAGAGGTCCGGAGCCAGAGCCGCCCCCCACCCCTTTCCGCCCAATGTCAGGGGAGGGGAAAAGCCACCCAGACCGGGCAATGGGCGTTCACTAAACGGCCCTGGGCGTTTCCTAACTAGCCCTGCCATGGTTTGCTTCTCTCTCTCTCTCTCTGGGTGCGTTGACTTAACGGCTCCGCGTGCTGGGGTGCTTCTCATCGGGTTGGGCTTCCTGCCCCCTGCAGTGTCGAAGCGCCGAGTGGGAAAGCGCCCGCTGTCTGGGTCGACGCAGTGCTCCCCCCCCCGGGGGCCATGCGCCCCTGCTGCACCGCCCGAGCATGCGGCGCCGGCCCCGCCAGGGCGGCGCGCACGCTCTCGGAGAGCGCCCCGCGCGGGCTCGGCGGCGCGTGCTCTCTTCTGGCCATCCGCGGCGAGAGCGGTGCCCCCGTGCGGACGGTGTCCCGGCCCACCCTGGTGATGGGCCTGCCTGCCACCACCTCCTCCTCCTCCTCCTCCTCCTCCTCATTCCCTCCTCCTCTCCTCTCCTCCTCCTCCTCCCTTCTCCCCTCCTCCTCCTCCTCCTCCTCCTCCTCCTCCTCCTCCTCCCTTCTCCTCCTCCTCCTCCTCCTCCTCCTCTTCCTTCTCCTCCTCACTCCTCCTCACTCCTCCTCCTCTATCATCTCCTCTATCTCCTCCACCTCCTCCCCCTCCTCCCCCCCCATCCAACTTATGGTGGTGGTGGTGGAAAACAGACCCATCATTTAGCCTTGATCACGAACTAGAATTTCGAGCACCAGAAACAAGTACCTAAACTCGAGGGTTCCGTAGCCATTTTGGCTCAAGCAGTTTTTGGCTCACAGGACGCCCCTGCCCTCTCTCCCCGACGCCCTCCTGGGACCAGCCATGCCCGCGGCCGACGCGAAGGCTGGCGACGTGCAGGGCCCTGGCGCGGGCGGCGCCGCCGAGAAGCCGGCCGCGGGTGGCGCGGCCGGGCCGTCGCCGATGTTGCCCTTCCGGATCAAAGAGGTCAAGCTCAGCCCCCAGTCCGTCGGCATGGCGCCCGTCTGGGGCGTGGCGGTGCCCGCCGCGACCAAAAAGTGAAGCTTGGCCAAGAGGTCAAGCTCGGCCCCCAGTCCCTCGGCGTGGCGCCCGTCAGCGACGGCTGGCCAGGGAGCTCGGCGACGAGCTCGTCGGCGTCCTGCACGGGCCCGCCGTGGCCGGGCGCGGCTGGTTCGTGTCGTGACGACGGCGGCGTTGGTCTCTGTGGCCTCTCTGTTCCTCCTGGCCTGCTCCTCCTCCCTCCCCTGCCCCCCTCGCGAGCCTGCGCGTCCTAGAGTTCCGACCTGTGCGTCATGAGCGATAAGAGCAACTCTGTTGGCCGACCGCGCCCCCCCAAAAAAAGTACCTAAACTCGAGGGTATACGCGTCGGGCCCTGGGAGACACTCGCCCGACACTGTTTCGGCACTCTTTCGACACTTTTCTGGGTGCTCGAGATTATTCCTGGGATGTGGTCCTTAAGTGCGATGGGAGCAACATAATCTTAGATGTTCATGTCGGACGTGCGCCTCCAACATCAGCGCATCGTAAAACATGTTGGCCCCAGAATCATAGAGGGAGGACCCCCCAGACTTCCCTCAGGGGGTGGGCAGCATCGCTCTGGGAGACGCAATCTGTATTGCTGTTCCCCCCTCAGTATTGTGACCCCCAGCCGGCGTTTCAGCTTCTGTTGCTTGCGATTTTGGGCCGCTCAAGCATTTTTACCTGCTCCAAAAATGTTCTGTTGTACAGATCTCGGAATCACATTCGCCTATCCTTCTGGGCCACGGTTCAGTGCATGAGTTTGCCTATCGCAGGTCCGTTCGTGTGGTGTTCCCGGTTCGCTTGGGGTCTGATTCGCACAGCGAATGTCGGGGCCCCCCCAGCGGGGTGGTGACCATACCGTGTGGTGAGTCGATGGGGATTCGGGGTCATTGCACGGTTTTGGAACTGAGGTCGTTCTTCGAGCATGTCTCGGGCGACTGGTGACGGACCCTGCGGTGAGGTCCCTTCGGATTTCGAGGTCAACGCTGGGTCTGTCGCCGCACGGTTTTGGGACCCGCAAGATCGAGACCGAGTCAGGTGAAGCTCGGTGGTCGCGCGCTCCCTGCGGACGGGGCCAGGACGGGGATAAATCCGTTCCAGAGCGTTCCGGAATTTCCGAACGCTCTGAGAAGGTTGCGGCGCCCAGGACATCCTTTAGGGCCGCCAGATCTCAGGGATTCTCGACTTTTCCTCACCCGTCGAAGTTGTCCTCGTCCTGGCTTCAGGACGAGGACAACTTCGACGGGCGGAGGGAGCAAGAGGAAGCGGATGAGGAGGAAGGGGGACGGGGGAGCAGGAGGAAGCGGATGAGGAGGAAGAGGAGGAGGCGCAGGAGGAGGAGGAGGAGAAGGATCAGTGATTCATAAATGATGTTGAAATACACCCTCCCTCCAATGTCCTTCTTCACAGGCCCCTTCAAGGGGTCATGTCCACTGAGGGAATTGCCCCGTTGGGTGGGACAACCGTGTGAACATCTTGAAGCGTGCCAAAACACAATTCTCAGGACTTCAACGAAGCGAGCTCCCTGAGCTGTTACGTCTTGGCGATCCTGAATCGTGCCACAACATAATTTCTGGGACATCAACTCAACGAAACAACATGATTGTTGCGCACTGACAATCTTGAATCGTTCCAACATACCGTTTCTGGTACGTTAGCCATGAGAACCAGTGAAGCTCTTTCAAATGATTAAAAGGAATATGCACGGCGCTAGGGCGAGAGCCACATTTTGAAAACGACCCGCCCTCAATCCGTTGAACTCTTGTTAACTAATAAATCGAATGTGCGCGGCGCTAGGGCGATAGCCACATATTGAAAACGACCCGCTCCCAACCCGTGAAACTCGTTCGAATGTTTAGAGCGAGTGTGCGCGGCAGTAAGGCGAGAGCCGCATTGTGAAAACCACCCGTCCTTAATGTGTGAAACTCTTGCAAATGTTTAAACTGAATGTGCGCGGCGCCAAGGCAAGAGCCACATGTTGGACACCACCCACCCTCCATCTGTGAAGCTGGTGAGGAAGTCTCAGGCGAAACGCCCGGCCCGCTCTTTGAACCAGCCTCGGGGTGCGACAGGGAGGAGTTCTCTGTAAGGAAAAGGAATGGAGGAGGAGTAGGAGGAGGAGAAGGGAGGAGGGAGGAGGAGGGAGGACGAGGAGGAGGAGGAGGAGGAGGAGGAAGAGGAGGAGGAGGAGGAGGAGGAGGAGGAGGAGGAGGAGGGAGGAGGGAGGAGGGAGGAGGAGGGAGGACGAGGAGGAGGAAGAGGAGGAGCAGGAAAAGGAGGAGGAGGAGGAGGGAGGAGGGAGGGAGGATGAGGGAGGAGGCAGGTCTTATCCTTCCTCCTCCTCCTCCTCTCCCCACACGAGAAAAAAACAACGCCCCCGGCGCCCCCCCTCGCCGGCAGCTCCGCGGAGGAGGCCTGGCGCGCGCGGGAGCGGCAGCGCAGCGGCGGTGGTCCTGCAGAGGCCCAGCCGCCCGCGGCGACGCCGGGGGAGCGCGGCCGGGGCGCGCCGCAGAAGGCTCGGCCGGGGCTCAAGTCGGGGGCGGCAAAGAGGGGGGCGATGACTAGGGGGGGGGATATCATGGCGGGGGCCATGATATTTCCCCAGATTTCATGGCGCCTCTTCTCATTTCATTACGTCCCTGGCCCCCCCGCTGGGCCGCGCACATGCCGCCGGTCATGATTTGCACCCCCCCTCATGGACACCCCCCTCTTGGCCGCTCCCGATCAAGAGACGGGTGGCGGCGCTTCCGAAGACGATCCCGGGAGCCTCTTGCTGTCAGCTGGCCTGGCGTTCCTGCGCCTCCAGTGGTCCACAGTCGTTTGCTCGTGCCATTGCAGGCCTCCGGGGCTGCGGGAGGCCACTGGAGGCCACTGGAGGCCGGGGGGGGGCCACTGGAGGAGACAGTCGAGGCGGCTCTACGCTTGCAGGGGGCCGCTGGGGTCCAATGGTGGCCATTGGAAGAGCCACTGCGACCACTCAGGTGATTACGGAAGGCTCCCAGGAGCGTGTTCTGAACGGTGCAAACGGGGGTCAGTCAGAGCGCCGGATCTTGCAGGTTCCTGCAGGGCCCCAGGGGCGCACTGACCAGGGCTTAGGTGGAGGATCCCGCGGGACCCTGCAGGATCTTGCAGGATCTTGCAACGCCCGATTGGCCCGGGTTTGGATGGACCCGGGTCAGTGCGTCCCCGATTCGGGGGGGGAAGGCCGGGCGTTGTCGCCCGGTTTGGGGCTCCGGGACCCTCACATGGCGATCCGGCTCGAACAGTGGCGCAGGAAGGTAGGTTTAGGCGTCAAGGCTGTGGTTTTTTAAGGTGTTCGAAGTTTTTCGTTGCGTCGGATCTCAGGGGAGGTCAGAGTCCCGAGTTATCATGAGGGCAAGGGGGTAGTCCGGGGGTAAGATTCGGGCCTCACGTTTTCGCGTCCGCTCTGCCCTGGATCTCGCTCTTCCCCGTGCATCTCCGGAAGCGGGAGCTCTTCTGGAGGAAGCCGTTCCAGAGTCCGCCCCCGCACACATTTGGGGAAGGAAGGCAGGGCCCTAATTTCCCTGACCACGTCTCGCCCGATCATGCGGGTGCCAAGAATTTGCCGTGTCGTGAGGCCCAGGCGTCCTCGTCGTGCGCGCGTCGTGGGCAAAACAGCGACCGGAGGTGTGGGGCAGCTTTCTGCTGCGGGGAGCCATCGCCAGAGGCCGCAGGTCCATCAACAAGGCCGCTCGGGATTCGACGCCGGCCCTGGGACAAGGGCCCTCCTGGGCGCTGCGTGTAGGGGATATCGTTGGCCGGTGGGGCCGCGGGGGACATCCTCGCATGCAGAGCAACTACATTAAAGATTCGTTGCTCAGGCCATAGCATGAGTTCGCCTATTGCAGGTCGGGTTGTGCGGTGTGCCCCGTTAGCCTAGCGACGTGTTGTTTCGAGATGTGGGAGGGTCGCACGTGATGTTCTTCTGCGAGGGAAAAGTAGTCGGCCCCAGGGAAAGGGCAGGGACTTCCGTCAACCAGTGGCGAAGCGGCCTGGTTTGCCCATACGCCCAAAAACTATTGCTCCAAGAGTCAAAGATTATGATGTGATTTGCGCGGAATGTTTTAAACCGTTTCTGATTGGGACCGCATTGGTTTCATCAATCGGGATTTTGTCCAAAGAACACGGTGTTTGTTATGATAACGTTCTCGTGTTTTTATTATGAGAACGTGTCGTGGTAGGCCTATAGGAATGCCGCGACGGTCGGTCCCTGCTCCATTCCGATGACCGCGCATTGAAAACATCAAGACGTCGCATGTCTGGGAGTGATCCCTGAGATAGTGGGTGGTGGTTCTCATTTTTCATACGTTTTCGGGCCCTCTGGTTGGCAGAAGGCTCTGGGGGGAAGGCAAGTTCGCCGTGACCCGGAATCCAGGCGGTTTGCCAGTTTTTCTAGCCGGGCGTCTGCGCCAAATTTCGGGCCCGGGGACCTTCACCGGTCGATTCGGCTCGAAACGTGACGCAGAAAGATGGGGTTTGGGGCTCTGGTCGAGATTGTTCGCGATGTTGCAACTCTCTCGCGACCTCCGATCTCGGGGGGGGATCCGAAGCGTCCCGAACGGCCGCCGGAGACCCGATGTTTGGCCGAAGGCCAAGCGAGCAGGCAAGCAAACAGCCATGCGATTTACTGGTGCACTGCAGCGTCATACCTTTGCTTCGCTGCCAGCGCTGCAGGAGATCCACACGGAAATCCCAAGTCTCCAAAAGCCGAACACCGACCAAAAACGTCTTCTTTTGGGTGTTTGCCATCCTTGTGGGGTCCTGAGCTTGGACGTGTGCATTTTTTCTCGGCGAGAATCATCGAGGACCATCCTGGACCATCGAGCAAACAAAACACGCACCAAACCGACACATGCACGGGAAGTAGACGTCCGAGCGATGGCAAGTCTGTGGGCTCTTGAGCGACGCGAACGACGCTGTTCGACGTCCCTCGCCGTTCTCGACGGCCTCCGTGCCCTCTTCTGGGCCCCTCCCCAGGCCCCAGGTCTGCCAACAAACGTTTGGGAATGTGTCATTGGTCGAGAGGGAGAGACCTTGGAGCCTGCGTCGCGCTGGTGCGCGTTGATTTGCACTGCGCCGCAGTGTAATGCATCGCGCTGCCTTTCTTGAGCTGTTCTGCGTTGCGTTAGGAAGATGGTTGCTTCGTTTGTCTGGACTTGGCTTGCTTCATAGGGAGAGACCTTGGGTCGATGACCCATCCCCCTCTTCCTCGGGACACGCCTCTCGCGCCAACAAAGCCCCGACACCTCCGAGGCTCGAAGTTCGAAGGTCTTCGAAAGCGATCGTCGGCTCCTGGAGCAGGGCTGGACCCAAACGGTGTTTTGGGTGATTCCGTCCGCCGTTTTCGTTTCGATTTCGTTTTGCGGTGAAGGTGGATTGAAGACAAGACGAGGGACAACGAAAACGAACCGAAAACGAAAAACACCGTTTAGGTTCAGCCCACCAGCCTCTGGGTGCCGTCTGCGGCAGCCGCGGCTCGCCGACAAAAGCGGCCCCGACTCGGTGCCCCGACGGCGCCCCGAGCGCCGCCAGAGGCCCGAAAAGGCTTGGACGTCAAGACGCGTGCTCCAACATATGAAGAAGTCGCGTTTGTCACCACCCACCAAGCCACCCCAACCCAACCCGAAGGCATCAGTCTGCCCTCCATTGCCAGTGGGGGGAGGTCGGGGAACATGGGACAAGAACACAGATGGAACCCGTACCCCCCCAACCCGAAATTCGGGTCCTCGGGTTGGGCTGGTGTGGTCTGGTGGGTGGTCTGTCCGTGTGTGGAGTGAGGGCCGGCCGGAAGAGGACGCCGGCCTCAGCGGAGCCAAAGGCGCCAGGCTTTGTGGTCGAGGAGCACAGAACGGCCTAAGCTCGAGTCGGGCGTGCCCCCCTACAGGAGGAGTATTCAAAAAAAGGCAAGTGATATTCCAGGGGCGATCTTTCCAATATTTTTCCACTGTTTTCGAGCATGTTTTGACTACTTCTTATTTTTCGCCCGGAACCCGTCTGCAGGAGGACATGCCCGACCTAAGCCTAAGCATACAGGCGAGGTTGATTGGCAGGTCGACCCTGTCAAATCAAGGGGATCTTGGAGTATTGTTTTTCGCGACCCATGCCTTCTGCATTCCTACGGCAATGTGTCCCTCGGAAGGGATTAACCTCGACTCTATTCTGTCGGACCTCCGAAATAGTATTTGTGTGCCGGTTTTCCTTCTTCCGATCTTGTACCCGAGGTCGGTGCACATGGTATGTTTTGGTCCCCCTCCCCTCCAAGCGTCCCGCCTTCTGTGGGGGGAGGCGGCAATCACAGTGACTCAGAGTGTGGTCCTTCCCGACAGCGCCGTTCCGTCAGACATTCAGATGAGGGAACGTACCCGGAACGCTGTCTGTCCCTCGTGTTCCGCTTTTTCGGCCTCCTGGGAGGCACCTCGTCGCCACCGCTGGATTCGCCTCGAGGTTGTGCTCCGAACGCACCCCCGGAGAGGGCCGTGGAGTGGCGGTATCGGTACCTTTGCGCGTCCCCAAACACCCTTCTGCCTCTTGGCCAGATCCGTGCGCATGCGTTACTGGCCAAGCTGCAAGTTCGGAGAGTGCGCGGGTCGGGGCCGTTCCCGGGCCCAAGATCGGGCCGGCCAGGACCGCTGCTTGTTGGCAGATTGCGCATTCCTGCATGGTTTTCAGGGGGGGCGCGGCCGCCTGGACATGTATCACAGTCCTATCATCAGTATGATTGAGATCGTTAGCGCAGCAGTCGATAAAGTGGGCAGGTGGGCAGGTAGGTGGGCAAGCAATCAGCATCGAGCAGGCACATTCGATCGTTCGACGCTCGAACAAGGGCAATCGGGCTCGCGCGTGCGAGGAAGCAAGGGCAAGTAGCCAGTGCGAGTAAGTGCAAGCACAGACTGGGAATGGCAGGCAACCAGCCAAGCAGCCAAGCAGGCGCAACCGACAATGGAGCACACGTGCGCAGGGGACCAGGCAGGCATCGAAGCACGCCAGAGCGAGCCCTAACAGGCAGGAAAGCGAGCGAGCGCAGTGGAGCAGAAGCGATGCGGCGGGGGTATTCGGGAAGACCGGCGGGCGAGCCAGCGAGCGAGCAAGCAAACAAGTTGGTGCTTTCCATCACGGTCTGCCGATCGTGCTCCCGCTGGTTGCTGCATAGGCATCCGACGATCTGTGCTTCAATCCGCGGCTCCCGAGTTCCCGACCCCTGGCCCGGAGGTAACCGCACATCCGTTCTTGAGAATGGATCCCGGAGGCCGGAGTCGAGGCAAAGTGCCAGGATTGAAGAATCAGGTCGGTGGAGATTTGGGTATCTGTCGGGGGTGGACAGAACCCCTAATAGTGACACGTCGATTAGTGAATTGTCCGTTTTCGGTTCTCGAGAGGGCGCCGCGGCCGTTATTTTCCAGGCTTGCGCCCGCCAAGTTTGGGCCCGAGGTCGTTTTCACTAAACCACGTTTTACTAAAGGGGGGTCTGTCCATCCCCGAATCTGGAGCCGCTGCCAGGGCAGAAAAGCGCCGTCGCTGGGTGCTCCACGATGCCTCCCAACAGGGGCCCGCGGCTGCGAAGTGCCTGGAGGGGGGCGGGGGCGACCATAAGGCCAGGCAGCTCGTCGCGGACATCGAGGCGCTCCGGGCGGACGTCGAGAGGAACCGAAGTAGAACACTACCAGATAATGAAATACAGAATCATTCATCTTGGGAGGTCCGTGTGAATTTCTTGAGTCTGCGCTGGGACTCAGCGTAGGAAAAGGCACCGATGTCGCTACCCTTGACTCCGTTTCGCCGTCTTGAACCTCCCGGGAGTCCTTGGTCACCACCGCTGGGTTCGCCTCGAGATCCTGGTCAGAGCCCACCCCAGGAGGGGTCCGGCGAGTACAGTCGGGGCCCTGAAGAAGGAACCCTTTTCGTTGGGGAGGGGCTTCGCGTTCCTTAAGTGTTTCGCAGCTTGCCTCAGGTTTCCCTTATGTTTTCGATCGGAAAGCGAAGTTTAACTTATGGAAAAAAGGGACCTCGTTCCTCATTTTGGGCTCCTTAGGTCAAGGCCCCGACTGTAGCCGTATTGGTACTTGCTGGTTTCCCCAGGGACCCCCCCCCCTGGCGGGGCCTCCGGTGCCGCCGCCTGCGCGCTCCGCGCGCCAGGGAGGGCCGTCAGAGCGCCGATCCAAGAGCGCCGCGCGGACGTCCGACATGTTCTGTGCGTTACGCTTCTAATGTTTCAACCTGCTTTAGCCTTGATCGCCAGAGAGAGTGTCGAGCGCCAGGGAAAAAAGGAGTACCCAAACTCGAGGGTTTTCGCGTGTCGGGCCCTAGGAGGCGCTCGTCCGACACCGGCTCCACACCGTTTCGACGCCCTTTCGACTCTTTTCCGGGTGCTCGCCACTGTTTCTGGGGCGTGGTCCTCAAGTTGCGATGGGAGCAGCACGACGTTGCGCCTTGGTTGTCTGGCTCCGAGGAACTTCGGGGCCGTCAACGCCACGCTCGAGAGGCTCGAGAGGCTGGTCGTCGCCCTGCCCCAGCAGGGCGGCGCCCCGTCGGTCTAGCCGGCCGCGGGTCGCACGCGCTCGGCGTGAGCTGCGCGGGGGCCGCCAGCGTGGGGCGGCGGGCGGCGGAGCAGCGGAGCCACGCGCAGAGTCGGGCCTGTCCCTCCAACGGGGCGCAGGTGCAGGAGCAGCAAGACAGGAAAGTCTGGGGAGGAGACCTCGACTGCTTCTGGTCATTTGCTGGCTACGGTTCGGGCTATTTGTTTGTTTCTGCTCGTCCACGAGCCGCCTGTAGGGGGGACACGCCCGACCTGGAGCCGTGCTCGCGAGCCCCTGTTGGCCACCGCGACCTCCTGCCTGCGGGTCCCTGAGACCCTGGCGGCTCGAGCTGTTCGAGCCGCACGCATTCGCCCAGTGTCGGGCCTCGGAACCCGCACAAATGGATCGGGCAGAAAGATGGGGTGCGCTCCAGTCGTGATTTTTCACGATGCTCCAATTTTTAAAAGACGGCGGATCTCAGGGTCTGTCTTGCACCGCCTCGGTGAGCGCGTCTCCCTGTCCTGCTGTCTTAATTTTCTTATCACCGCAAGAAACAATAAGCTGTGGCGACGGTGCCGCCTCAAATTCCCCGGATGTGAGTCTTGAAATGAATGTCCCTCGTTATGGCGACGGCGCCTTTGGCGATCCACTAGGCACTACACTTGCACAAAGTGCCCTCCGTGCGCTATCGAGATTCGGCAGTGGACTGGCGGAAGAATTGCTCTCCAGCGAACTCACAAGTCTCGCACTGCTTCCTTCGGCGGCGGTGGCATTGGACATAGCTTCCCATGTAACAACAAACCGAACGACATAGAAGAAATCAATTCGAGGTATCCCACCAGTCGTTGAAAGTAGGTATTCCTGGATGCCAAGGTCTTTAGTCTATTTTAGGCGCCTTCCTATTTCAATTATCGAGTGATTCCGTCTTTTCCTTCATTATCATGGTGTGGGTGCAAACCCAACTTATGTTCGACGCCTTCCTACTTTAAATCTCTAGCCACTTCTTCTGACCGATGGTTTTAGTTGCAGGCCGCATCGAGACCGCGCCGCGTTGCGCCTCTGACTGCATCTGTGTGTGGGCCTGGATTTTTGGCATCGCTCGGACGTGTGCATTTTCTTGGCGCGGACCATCGAGGAGCATCTTGGATCATCTAGCGAACACGGAACAAGCACGGGGGATGGACGTCCGAGCGATGGCAAGGATTTCGTTGAGGGCAATGCCGAGGCAGATGCTCTGAAACCTGCTGGCGGCAGTCGCGCGGCGTCCCTCGACTGGAGGGCGCCAGTTGCACATCACTGTTGCACCGGTGTCGGTGCTTGCCAGGCCAATCCTGGGCCTTGGCATCCCCGATGGTTGCCGAGTTTGTATCACATTCCGTCTCTCGTCCGCCAGGTATAATTCATTTCACCGGGCGCGCTCCACTACTCGCAAAGTGTTTTCTCGCAGACGCTCGAGAGAAAAAGATGTCTTCCTCTACGTGATGTATCGTATATCCCCCGCGGCGGATCCAGGCCATCTGCGAGTAGTTACTCTGCGAGTAGTGGAGCGCGTTTGTCCATGATTGGCTTTGTCCTGTCCAATATTGGCTTGGATTTCAAGTTGCGCAGCTCTAGGCGTCAGTGCCGAGGAGTCTCGGCCTTCGGGTCGCGGCCCGGGTCGCCCGCGGCCATTCGGGGCGCGATCTGGACACGCGCGTGGAGCACCTTCAGTGAGGCGCGGCTGCTTGGAAGCATCCCGAGACCAGAACAAGTCGGTGATCATTTCCTTAGTCATTGTTTTGCCGATCGGCGCGGGCCCTCGCCTCCCCCCCCCCCATGGAGTAGATCTTGGCTGCCTTTGGCGCCTGTTTCGAGCAGGTGGGGTAAGCACGGGGGCCCCGCCGCCCCACGGGATTCTCAATGGGAGCACTGCTCCAAACAGTCGCACTAAGCAGAGGTCCAGAGCCAGAGTCACCCCCCCTCTCCCCCTCCCTTCCGCGCAATGTCGAAAAGCTAGGAAAACGCTCGCACACGGAGACATCGAGCGGCACCCCGCGCGGGTTGTGCAGAGCGCCTCGCCGCAGTCGCGCCGGCCGTTACGGCAAGAGCCCGGCGCCGCAGACGGCGCCCCGCGCCTTTGGCAGCCGCCGCGGGGCCGCGGCGGTCGTCGCGAATCGACCGCCCGTGCCCGGGGTGGAGCGGCCCTCCGCCCTCGGAGTCGCGCGCACTCGCTCCGCCGACCGTCCGCACGTGGACTCGGCTCTCCTCGGCCACGCGCAGATCGGGACGATCGAAATGGGTACAGACAGAATGGGTACGATGCCCAAAAGCAGTCTGAAGTCGGTCACGTCCCTCTACAGCAGGAACATCCAGAAATAGTAAAAACAAATGAGTCCAGGGGCGATGGCTTGACAATTGTTCACTACCTTTGAGCATCTTTTGAGTGTTTTTCATTTTCCGTCCCCCGCCTGTAGGAGGACACGCCCGACCTAAAAGCAGTCCCCGTTCAGTTTGAAAAGGACTCGCTGTCCGCGCCGCCGCGGACGCTGCTCATTGGAGGCAAGAAGCCGCGTGCTCGACAGCGGCCGCTGTCGGTTTTGGACAACACTTGCTGTCGGGCATTGTACTCTTTTTTCCGTACCGCCCTCGGGCGTCCAAGACAGAGGGGGCAGGGGGAGGGTGGAAGGCTTCTCAGAAGCACCCCTGCTTCTTGGAAGGCGCGGGCCTTGTCTACAGGTGTCCGCGGCGGGAGTGTATACATGACCACCGCCTGGAGGGTCAGTGTTCGGAGCCTCGGCAGGCGGTGGATATGGACATACTCGGGCCCCCGGGGGCCGAAATATATCCATATCCGCCGCCCGCTGGGGCACCAGGACGTCGGTTCCCAGGCGGTGGATATGGCTAAATCCCCGCCGCGTAAGGTGTAGGGCCGGCGCCTTCTAAAGAGCGGCCTCTTTCTAAGAAGCGTTCCCTCCTCCCCCATGCCCCTCTCTGAGCGCCGCCAATCTCTCCCACTCCCGCCCTGCCCCATGTCCCAGAAGAGGAAGTAATTACCGATGCCGCCACCCTTGCCTCGTTTTCGCCTCTGGGGCATCCCTGGAGGCCCTCGTCGCCACCGCCGGGTTCGCCTCAGAACTGTGGTCAGATCGCATTCAGGAGAGGTCGGGGGAATAGCGGTATCTGTACCCTTTGGTCTTCTCATTTCCCATTCCTCCCCCCCATATGTCGAACAACAAAGGAGAAGGTACATACGTGTTCGGAGATCCGCGCGTTTTTTTTTATCGGCGCCTGGGGCCCCCTTTGCCGCGCCTCTGGCGCCGCACCTTGCTCGCTCCACGCGCTGGAGGCAATGAGCTCGATTGCGAAAACACGCAACACAAAGCAGACCTGAGCATGCAGGGGAAGACCAGGACACCGCAAACGCCGATGAGCGCGTGCTGGGTTAAGCGCGACGGCTTTCAACCCTGATGCAGTAGGGCGGTTACTCTGCGCAAATCGGGACATCAGCAAGCAAGCTAATGAAGTCGTCAGATTTCTGGGATTGTGCGGGAAAGGCCAGCGCGACGAGCAGTTCCCTCAGTTCCGAGGCGTACACGCCGGGGCGCGTTGCCGGCATGGCGGAGCATTTGGTGCACGCTTGGACAATCACGGACCTGATTGATTGTGGGAGATGACTGCGGGGACCCATGGGATTCCGAATGCGAAGCAATGCGTGCAAAAAGCCAGGAATCTCACCAAGAGCAACGCAGCCGCAACGTTTATTGCAAGGCCAATGCGCGCGGCCCCCAGTTGGCTGCCATCTTTCTACTCGAAGGGGCTCGGGCCAGAGAAGACGAAGAGGGATGCTAGAGTGCGAAACGGGGCGCCTCAAATGTGGTCCGAGCTGTGTGAAATGCCGCGTCAACTGTCGCATTGCGATTCCCGCAGGAAACCAAAGCTGTACCGCGGTGCAGTTTCAGACAATTCTACAGCATGAAGGCGCACAGACATGCATTGGCGGTCTACGTTGTAATAATTTCGAAACGCGCTGCGAAGGGGGGAGGTACTCGAACTGAAACCCGCCCGAATTATGACTAAAAGCCCCTGCATCGGCAGGGCCCAACGGGGCCGAACGAGGGGATCAGAGGTATATCTGGACCGGATCTGTCTAGCTATGTTCGAAGATCTGGTTCGCCAGATGACATCTCACGACCGATTAGGGCTCTCCTGTAGAGCCTGTGACCTGGATGTTTCCTGGAGTGAGCCGCGCGAAACAGTACAAATTTCAGGTCAGGGGCAAACGCAATGAGAGCGGCAATGGGACTGTGTTGACGTAGGCCAGAAAATAGGATGGCACCTCTCGCCCAATGCCCGCAGGAAGCTCAAGGCCCCAATGGTGTTCACGCCCACGCAGGGTCACTCATGATTTGGACGCCAGCCAAGACCTGGAGGACAGGGAGGTCAGCGATATCAAGAAGGGGATGGGGAGAGAGTTCAGAGGAGGAGCACGCAATACAGCCATTAGGCCTGGCCCGGCACAGAAACGGAAAGAGCGCTTCAACAACAGAAACCGAAATTACTCACACCACCGTTCGTACTTGGAGCCTTGGCGTTGAGAGCTTGTTACGTCACCCCTCGCTCTTGGGAGCCTTGGTGTTCAGAGATTGTTGCGTTGCCACCCGTTCCTGAGCCTTGGCTGGGCCTTGGTGTCAGGAACTTGTTACGTCACCGCTCTCTGCTGGGAGCCTTGGTCTTATCAGCTTGTTTACGTCACCGTTCGCTCTTGGGAGCCTTGGTGTGAAGAGCTTTTTGCGTTACCGATCGCTCTCTATTTGGCGTCTCTGGGCCTTCTTGGGAGTCCTTTGGGGCCCTTGTCGGGCCCTCTTGGAGGCCTCTTGGGAACCTCTTGGGGGCCTCTTGGGGCTTCTTGGGGGGCTCTGGGGGCCTCCTGGGAGCTTCTTGGGGCGAAAGGCTAGACTTTTCGGTTCGTGGTCCCCCTCTTGGGGCCGTCTTGGGGCCCTCTTGGGCCGTCTTGGGCGCCCTCTTGGGCCGTTTTGGGGGCCTCTTGGGAGCCTCTTGGGCCGTCTTGGGGCGGTCTTGGGGGCCTCTTGGAGCGTCTTCAACGTAGTGAAAGCCGAAAAGCCTTGTATGCTAAAAATGTACATTTTCCTATAGGAAATCAATGATTTTCGCCTCCCGGTGGCCTCTTGGGACGCCTCTTGGGGGCCTCTTGGGGCTTCTTGGGGGGCTCTGGGGGCCTCCTGGGAGCGTCTTGGGGCGAAAGGCTAGACTTTTCGGTTCGTGGTCCCTCTCTTGGGGCCGTCTTGGCGCCCTCTTGGGCCGTCTTGGGCGCCTCTTGGGCCGTCTTGAGGCGGTCTGGGGGGCTTCTTGGGCCGTCGTCAACGCCGTGAAAGCCGACAAATGCGCACATGCTAAAAATAGAGTTCTCCTTTTTGGAAAATTGATGATTTCGGCCTCTTGGGGCCCTCTTGGGGCGCCCCTTGGGCGCCCCTTGGGCGCCTCTTGGGGGCCTCTTGGGGGCCTCTTGGGCCGTCTTGGGCGGTCTTGGGCTCTCTTGGAGCGCTCTTGGGCAGTCTTGGGGGGGAACCCGAAAAACATGCAAAAACCCAAGGGAAACCCGAAGACGGCCATTAACACTCAAATGCGCACCCTACCCCCCTCCCCTGGAACCCCTCCCTTTAGGGCTGCGCCCACACCAGAACGTCATCACTCGTACCTCGCTCGTTCCGTTATTCGACTACCAGGTTACACGAGACATCCAGCCATATCGGTGGACTTGTGGAGCGTGCCACGCTGGGGTTGGCTGAGA